GCAATGTTCTTCCGATGTGTGATTTCTTTTTAAAAAATGCGTTTCTAACGTGCATAAACTTTTGGGATTGACTGTATAGCCAATACATCCTTAATCGTCGTCCATTAATTATCCATTCGTATTATATTGATCAGTTCATAAAGAGAAATGTAAATTTAGAGTTATAGTAAAGGGATGCAGGCAGGACTGAACGAGGACACTTTGGGCGGGATACTTAAGTGCGGTCTGGCGCAATACGTCGCTTTAGAAATCACCAGAGGCAACAACAGAGAAAACAGAGCGGTGGCTCGATATCTTCCATGGCTGTACAGTGCTCCCTCGATGATACAGCCAGGGTATATGTAATTGCTTAGATTCTAATTAAACCAGAATACATAATGCACCACAAAGTGGTTATAAGTAGTCTGCGGCTTCTCACGCAATATGGAACATGTACGATAGCAATTAAAATATTAGATTTCTTTTCTAGTTCAATCATTGCGGAATTCCGTATATTCTTATACACGCAACGTTTTGTATTTTCTTAGGGATGCGTTAAATCCGCAGTCTAGTTGGAAAAAGCATTGTTATTCTGACGATCTCAATGATTATCTTTACACTTTCATATCTTCCCCCAATTTTTAGGGCCCGGGAGTACGTGGACTGTATCGGACATATCAGACTTCTATCATGGCTCTTGTTAGGATCTCTCACGCATACGGCGATGTACGCTGGCAGCAATAATACGCACACCCATGGACAGTCGGTCCCATTCGCGCAGCCAATACCACAGGAAGTATCTTGCCACGTCGCGGATCATGTGCAAGTTATATTTTCCGGATTCCCCGAGCAATCCAAAGCTTCGGTCTTGCATATGTCCTCGTTGTTTCACGCTTTCATACTTTGCCAGGTATTATTTCATTTTTTAAATACATTAAATACGTATTGTATTTAATTGATAAGAGAAAATGATGATTCTTATTTGTCTCTGTTCAGCTGTGGACGATGTACTTGGAAGAGTTGTCGAAGAACAATCCGTCGAACAGCGAGAGCCACAATATTACCATGAATATTCTTCTGGATTTCTGGGGCACTGTAACGCCCTGTATATTGCAGCTAGTCGAATTCTCAAAAGTTGTAAGTGAATTGAATGAAAGTTTCTGTTCCTTCTTGATAGATACTTCGAAAATTTCAGTTGGCTGAAATGGTGAACTTGCATTTTCTGAGCTTGCTCGAAGCGCTTCTCGAATGCGGCTCAATTGTGCTGAGCAAACTGCTACCACTTTGGAGTCCCATTTTATACTCGCATCATATTCAGGTATTTGATCATCGGAGTTACGATAATTCAAGCGCAGTAATAATTCATTATTACGCTAGTTTTTATAATTAATTAATTAGACGTGTTTATGTAATAATTATTATTTATTTGCGATTAGCTACCGGGTAATTTGCAAATGCGACTGCAGAATTGTCGGGACTTTCCGCCGAACAAGATGTCCGAGAATTTCGTTTCGTCCCGCCGGGAGTCAAACGCGACGCTCTTGCGGTGGCTGCATCGGTTGCAGTTCAAAATGGGCCAAATAGAAATGCAGTCATCCACGGCCACGCAGTTTTATTCAATTTAAATTGGAAGAATTGCCCAATTGACAAGAAAGAATTTTGTAAACAATTTTTGCAGAGGCGTTGAACGCCATTTTAGTCAAATATTATGTTAACACAAAGGAAAAGTAATTTGTTAATTATTATAAAATATATTTATGCTACTAAAATGTGGTCGAATTATTTATTCCCCCGGTTGTTGGCAAAGAAGGACAAGATGTAACAATGCTTTAGCCAGGAATTTTGCACACGTAACTTTCATGTTATCGCGAAATTTGTAACCGTTACGATAAAATATGATAACGGGCTGAGCACAATAAAAGGCGAGCGATTAACTTTGATAAGACCATTAGTCACTGTGTGTGCACAGTACAATTTCCCACCCACAATGAAGTGCCTGGGGAATTTCTTCGGTACCTTAGATTCAGTACATTCTAATATAATATTTATTAACAATGTAAACGATTAGATAATGGAGACAACCCGAACATAAAAGCAATGAATTTCGATGAATAGAAATTTCAATTTTTAATTAAAATACGATGAGTGTAGCTATAAATGATCATCGAAACTGTTTTAATTAATCTGCATTTCATATTGACGATTTTTAATGCTTTTCTTCATGGACTCATTCATCCTTTTTGTTCCCTTTCGGTTTAATTGTAAAATTGATCTCCCGATGGTTTGCATTAAAAACGCAGCTGGAACTGTGTACCATAACTTCGTAACACTTTGTAACTAGCATCAATGACGTGAGAAATCGAGGTTAGAGATTCATTAATCGAGGAAAAAATTATACATTTCTCATGCTCGACAGAGTGGAATGTACACAGTACGTGCATGCACATGTATTTCAATTAAAAGTAAAAGTATCGTGGAACGTGATAGACAGAATTCGGTGATCGATGGCAGTTCCACTGTATTTGCTGTTGTATAGAAATCGCTACCGCGTTCTTTTGTTTCTGTCAACTGTTTCATCTTTGTTACATTAATTCTATTTTTCATTGAAAATTAGTGTGGAGAACCCTCAACATCTGCATTGTTTTTGTCTCCAGTCAAACGTGCCTTGAAGATGCCTTTTAAATTCCATTTGAAGAAAAGTCGGCAGTATAACGTGGTCTCGAAGAATCAGTATGTGATCTGTATTGAGTTGCTGGATACTACGACCATAGAATGCACACTGAGCATCGACAGTCTCGGCCAAGAGTGCTTGGACAATGTGACCCAAAGATTGGGCCTAGGTCAGCCTGAATTCTTTGGCTTGCGGTATGTATCTAGGCACGACTCTCCGTCCCCGAGGTGGGTGGACATGGACAAGCCATTGAAGAAACAGTTGGAGAAGGAGGCAAAGAATTTTGGCCTTTATTTGAGGGTCATGTACTACGTCACAGATGTACAACTTCTCCAGGATGAGATGACGAGGTACGTAGTACCTTGATTACCTTTATATTACTTCTAAGCTGCGGAACCTCTGAAGCAACATTGAGGAACATTCCATCGCTACAAGTTCCAAGACATTTTCAATAAACTGTTATTTGCAGAAATTCTGTTCATACAATAAGCTTTGTCTTGAAGTGACATTTGTTGAAACAGAAACACGAAGAAATCTTTCAAGAAACGAAAAGTCGCTACTTGTTTCTTAACAGTATTGTCACTATTTTCTCGATTCTCTGTTGTTTCAGATACCACTATTACCTTCAACTAAAGAGCGATGTTTTAGAAGGACGATTTCAGTGCAATTCTAGACAAGCAACTCTTCTGGCAAGCTATTCGATGCAAGCAGAGTTTGGTAATTTTGATGCAGAAAGACATACTATGGAGTGTTTGCAACAGTGCACATTGTTTCCTAAGGTAGTAAGCAAAGTCGACAGAATATATTACATCTTCTACCTTATTTTAATCATACCCTCTTCGTTAGGACGTCATCCAAGCAGATCCTGGAGGTCAAGATTCTCTTTTGCATACTGCAGTATGCCAATACAAGAATCTCGTTGGTGTCACTCAAGCTGCAGCAGAGGAACTATACATTTCCATTGTCATGCAACTAGAGGGATATGGAAATGAAACATTTTCTACGAAGGTGCCTGAATTTTCATATAAAATACTTCGAACTTTCTAGTATAACGCGATTCACTGATTTGACAGGATAATGGAAACAACGAGGTGATATTGGGAATCTCTATTAACGGAATCATGATCATTTATCCTAACACGCAAACAACGCAATTCTACAGGTATTCATTCACGAAATCTCTCGAACACGTTACGTTTACAGGAAGAATAAATAATACTTGTAATGCAGGTGGAAAGACATAAGTAATGTTATCAATCACAAGAAGACATTCAGAATAGAGTGTCAAGCGGAAGGGGAGGAGCCGAAACAGTTTATATTCACCGAATCGCGGAACGCGAAATACGTTTGGCGATTATGCATAGCGCAACATACGTTTTATATGCAGCATCAAGAATCGAGGCCGATAGAGAGATCGACTAATGGCTATTTCGTACGTACTTCACATTATACTAATAACATTTCCCTGACCTGTTAATTAAACCAGAAACCTTATGATCGCATTTATAAAATTTAGGATAGCGACACAAACGACTCTGGCGATCACGCGGTATCAGTGAACCTGGACAACAGGAACGCGGAGGGCCACACACGGTGGACCAGCTATAACGATCTGTCGACATCACCGTATCCCGTCGTGTCGGTTTCGTCGACGGACATCAACAACTTACGTGCCTTGCTACCGTCTTACAGACCGGCGCCTGATTACGAGACCGCCGTACAAATGAAGTACAACAACGGAGGGAACCCGCCCCAGCCCTATTACGCTAATCAATCGACGATCGTCGGGGCAGACATTTCGTGCCTTCTCGGTAACGTGGTTAACCGAAGCAGATATTAGATTTATCAACGCAGTATAAGAATTCTTTTGTTGTTTGAAAGAAACAGTATTTCTCAACGATTATCCACACGCCCATGCAAGAACTAATAGAGATTAATGGTAAAGACTGACACGCACAACTTTACAAACTCTCACCCCCACATCGTAAACATTATCCTTAATTAATCGCGTATCGAAGTTTGAACTTCTCTTTATTACCCAGAGAAGTCATTTTTCTTAATGTTGTGAGCAATGTCATAGTTTTATGTATAGTTAGCATTATTTAAGTGTAACCATTTCATTGTAAATAATTGGCAATCTTATGTTTTTAATTAATACCTTTAGTAAAATAAGATATTTATTGTTACGATAAAAGTATATGTTTCGAATGTTGTCAATCCATAAAATGAGTAGATTTAACAAAGTACATTTCCTGTTTCAATAAATTGTATACAAAACCATGAACGAAGGAAATACCCTAATCGTTTTGGTCATGTTACACAAATCCAAGTATCACGCTCTACCTCCTCGGTAGAATACCATCAACAATAAATACATTTTTAAATTAATAACAATGGCTTTGTACTTACGTACAGCATAACCCGCGCATCTTCTTCATTCAATTCACGCATCTTCTTCATTCAATTCACGCATCTTCTTCATTCAATTCA